TATTTCTCTAATCTAATAATGTCTGATTGGAGCAGCTAATTGGACCTAATTTAGGAAAGTATGATATATTGAAATCTCACAATAAGTGTGAAGGCTGTATTAAAACCGCACGTTGATATATTTTAGCAAGAAACACAAGCCCTGTAATGGCATGCGTCATTGCTGCTTAGGTGTCTTTGAGCAAGACACTGAACACATCCTGGTCTTTGTTTGACCCTGTGATCCCACCTTAGTGGATAAACACAGAGACCGTTGACCTACAAAGATAGATACATTGTCATACCATCATTGTTGGATATTTAGTTTGTCATGGTCACAGCAAACGCAGTTGAAGGAATAAGGACAGTGTCCGAACAGAACGGGCACAGAGTTTGCTTAAGCTCAATAATTCATGGCTGACTGAGCTCAGCTGTCCTTGAAAAATCCCCAGAGTTGGTCGGTTGAAACCAGGCACTGCTCATTTAGGGCAGAGAGGAGAAGTTGAGACAGACACTTACAAACCCATGATACAAAATATTTGGAGTCTCCCTGTTTGGTTTTGAAGGAAGGTCAAAAGACGCAACATTTTCATTGTCATTATCACATGGAACACACACTTTGGATTACATTGCTGTAGTTTGCATGCACTTTTAGTTTGATTTAGGTTGGTTTAGTTTTTCTTCATCTTGTGGTTTGAATCCACATCAGAGAAACTTGTTGTGTTACAGTAAAGAAAGGAAAGCAGCCCTCTAGGAGACTTCTTTGTTTGGAAACCTATACAAAAAGATCTTTCTACAGCAACCAGTGTTTTAACCTATGCTGTTCTATGGCCATAAAGAAATTGATTTAGATGTTTGACAACCAAACTCGTCTACAGGCCAGACTGATTTTCCTATTCCTTTGTTTACCATGTGTTGTTTCTGCACCTGGTACTGTCCAAACAGTATGAAAAGCAAATAAAGAGAATGAGCACCCTTCATGCTTTTCTGAAGTAACACAGTGACTGAAATCATATTGTTCCCTTCAGCCAAAATCTCTCGCTAACCGTATGGCACATTAGTTCAATTCAGTTTGACTAGTTAACTTATAAATAATTGTGAGTGGATATCAGTTTTTATCACAAGTGGTTGATTTGATAACTAAACAAACAACACATGAAAATGCAAATCTTATTCAGCTGTGCGGCTGCAGAGAAAAGCTATAGTCGCGATCACACCTCTTGGTTGGATGTCTGCAGCACACAGACACTGTATTTGGCACGTTTAGCACATTTCTTTACACGTCATGCTAAAAAATATCGCACCCAGTTATCACACCCGCTGACTAATGCTACTGCAGCATTTGCTATTATATTAATATTTATGATGACACAACACATTCATTTTTTCTTGCAAATGTACCCAAATGTGCCCCTCTCTGATGAATTCACATTCATGTTTGAAACTGACGCATGTGGTTAAAGTTGTTGACTTTGTCGGAAAATAAATGTTTCCTCTTGTTGAATAAATGTTGATTGTGTCAGATCATTTAGTCGTTTTTAAAGAGGTTCTTTTCGACACCATTAAAATGAGCGATGACAGGGAAAATAGGAAATCGTGTCCCAAAAAACCGAATACAAACTCAGTGATAATTACTTTAGGCAGAATCTACATTAGTCTGTTAATCATCCATGGCTGTCTCTTCCCTCTGTCCTCAGGGCGGCAGTTTTTAGGAGTGGTTTTCTGTACTTTGCAGGGCTGTAACCTTGTGCATGTTTACATTGGTTTAATGAGTCACTTAGTCCCGGTTACTCGTATGATTCATCCGCCTGTAGTGAATGATGAGCATTGTTAGGCGTTTGAGGGAGACCTCCATTCAGTACTTGAAATAAGGCTCCAGTCACTTACAGTACTAAGGGAGAGCTTGTGAGCTAAGGCTGCATGGTTTATGTTGTGCATTGTTGCTAATGGGATCTTTTATCGACATGCTTAACAGTTGTGCTTGATCCTGCCACTTAATGCTGTAGCTGTTGTTAGTCCTGTGTCCTGGCTCTGGCACAGAAGAGGACTGGGTAAAGTCACGGTTTTCACACAACATTCCTGCTCAAACCAGCTTTGACTTGAATGATTGAATAAAGGGATTTTTCATTTACCAGTTTAGCTAACGACTCGAGTCCCTTTTGAGTCATGAGACTGCTGAGGGTCCAGACTCCAGTATGTGAAAGTGAGCATTGTTTTGCCCTTTCCCTATAAGGGCAGTTAGAACAACATGTAGCACTGTATAGCATTACATAACTGATGCAATGCATAGATTGGCCAGTGACAGTAATCGGCCTATTTTCAGCTTGGTGGACCATGACCAACAATCCAAACAGTCTAAGACATAGCTGATTCTGTGCCAGTAAAATCTGAGAATAATTGCAGTCGATGCATCCGTAGTAGTATTAATGGGTGTCACATTTTTTATTTTAGATACGCTAGCGGCTTGGCTGTTAAGAATGGCAATGTTTGTGGGACAGCCTGATGGTCTGTCTACTATGGTCCATTCTGAAAAATCTTTGATTGAACTATTGGATTGATTTCCATGAACAGAAATCTGTTATGAATTTTAATGACGGTGCTGCCTACCAATCCTTAGCGCCTCTGAGGTTGTCATGTTTGGGTTTTAGTACAAATTCCATGTTAAATTCAATTTGATGTCTATATTTCTTGGTGCTCGGAATGTGAATTCCCGATGGCTTTGGTAATCCCCAAGCCTTTCCCCTAATGCCACGATCATGTCCCTTATTCAGTGAAATATCAAACAATCTACTACATGGGTTGACACACACACACACTGGTATATATTCATCCATCTAACTGCAAATTCACATTGGAACATATCGTGTGTAAACTGCTCTGTGTGTACAATAACTTATTGGCTTTGTTTCAACCTTGTGCGCTGTTAAGCAGGGTGTTTAGCAATGTCATTGTGATTTGGGGTTTGAAGTGTTGTAAACAGGATGGGTTTGCACTCTTCCATTGTGAGCCCCACCACAGGACAATAAGCAGGTCCTGCAGAGGAAGAACGACTCCTAGAAGGAACATTCGCCAAGCCTCATTAATTGTATGACATATTTAGCAAACAGTGACGGTTGGCTAGGGAGAACTGTTGTTGCTGGAAACACAAAAAACTGGGTGAAATATAGAAATGAATTAAACTGTAGTCCCAGAGTTCAGTTCCAGATAATGATGGGTTGTTTTAACCAAAGGGGAGGACAGAATTGTAATTATTCCTTTTACTCTGTCTTAGCTAGGTTACTGTGTCCTGTTCTTCTTACAGCAGTTGTATTCATACTGAGGCGCTTGGGTTGCATCTGTATGGTGAGAAAAACTCTAAGGCTAAAACGCATGTTCTTTCAATGCAATCATTTTATACAATTCATCAAATTCCTTTTGAGGCTTCTAAGAAATGCTGTCGGACTTCTATAACCTTGAGTTAGTGTTGTCGTTATCCATTTGATCATCTATCCAGTTACAAGCCATTTTATATTAAATATCCATATTTTCTGATACTGTACAATGCATTTTCTGGAAAATAAGTGGAGGATTGTGATTGAATACAATAACCAATTGTATTGTCTGTTTCGGGCCAATTTAGTAAGTGAAATGCCTGATAAATCAAAGTACATTATATGATACTCTAATGACATGAAGATTCACTATCGCCATGAAACAGCTCCTCTTATTGATTTGCAACATCGGCCACAATGGCCTAATAAACCCAGAGATGGTCTATAAGGGTTGAGACGGTGTCAACATAAACAGTATGTACAAAGCTGCACGCCTTTAAGTCAAAGAGATTTACAGCTCAAATTAGGTTGATTACATTTATTTGGTCATTTTGGTAGTTTATTGTCCTAAAGAACTCAAAATGTATTCCCTCCAAGCATTTAACTAGAATATGTTGTCATCAAATATGAGATATATGTTTTGTTTGTGTTGTATTAGTCATCCCTCTTCCCCCCCTTTGCTGTATTCACTCGACCTGGCGCCACTGTTAGCCTTTGCTGTGATGAGTCATACAGAATGAGTACGCCTTATCTGGCAAAGGAAAATAAATACCTTCTTCATACACATCACTCCAGACGGATGGGACTGCTGCATGGTAATTTCCTTTAGTCCTTGTGATGAATTGCTAATCTGAGAGTCCTTCAGATAAACACAAGGCTGAGCTGGAAGGGCTCAGCATCAGATGGAGGGCTCAGTGATGTGGCACCGGGAGGGAGAGCCGAGCCAGCTCTCTGCAGACTCTTCTTTTGGGCCAGTACAGTAAATGATATGGGTGTGCATCATCAATATGCATTTTTAGCTGTTGAAAACAACTTGGACAGCTGACTGTTGCTATGCAACAATAGGAAACTTGGGAATTCACTCCTTGTGCCTCTAAATAACCTTCGAAAAGCATTTGTTGAACAACTGAATATATGTTATTTGCTCTGAATGCATAGTTCGGCTTCCTTGCTGATGCTCTTCAATGTTAAACTGTGCAGATTGTAGAGGAGGCTTGTGAAGTTGGAGCAACTCCCTGTTGTTTTCCAAAGTCTCTGTGTTTTAGCTGCTGTTGTCTTGGCTGATTCATTGTCATGTACGTTTGTAGAGTAACGCCAAGAGAATTTTCCTAAAGTCTTCTATCATGTTTGAATCCAGTCTAAGATACACTACAGAACAAAAGGATGCAAAAAACTAGTATTTACATTTCTTTTATGAATATGCCATTTGATTTAGAAAACTGCCAGAAATGCTCGTCACTATTTCCTGACGCTCGAGGTGATGTCATCAAGACTGCCTTGTTTTGTCAAACCAACAGTTATGATCCTGAAGATATCAAATATTACTATAAGACAAGGGAAGGAATATTTCACTTTTTTTTTAAATCCAAAAACTGTCAAAATGTTGTGTAACAAAGCTCTATGAGTTAATTCTAATTATAGTTTGACGTGATTTTTGACCTAACCTGTGGTAGTTTGTTCATTAATGGAGGATTTATTCCTTGTGTTGCAGATGAGCGTCGGTGATTGACAGATGTGTGACGCTGTGGGGAACCATTCGCTTCTCCCAGTGGAGATCTGAGTTCTGGGACACTGAGGTGAGCGCCGCCTCTCAAACTGTTTCATTTTGTCATTAATTGATACTCGTGTTGATACTCATTTATTTTTCTGCCTTGATGACATACTAATGATTCCTTTTTTAAATTCGTAGATCTTCACATGTTATTTCAGTTAGTATTTATTGAAAGTCATTATCATTTATAAAGCATTGTACTCTTGAATATCCTTATATATCAATGTGACTTATAATGCCAGAAACAAATGAGATTTGAATGTGAGCTGTTGTTGCTGATCTCATGGATGGGTGTAGTCAGTGGCGGCTGGTGGAAAATATTTTAGGTGGGGCTGTGGAAATGGTGATCAAACAATACTAGGGGGCATTTTTTTGAGAAAAGACCCCCTAAATTATGACTTCTGGTGATGTTAGAGGGGGGGGGGGGGCTTAAAAATATGAGAAGACTGATCAATACCTCCATAACTTCAGTGTGGTTAGCTATGAATCTTCCAAAACTTCCAAACACCTTGTCCTGGACATAGTTTCTACAGCATAAACTGTGCTAACAAGCTGAGATTCCAGATTCTAGAAATATAAGTATCATCACTGAGCGATCAGAACTCGCGACAGGGGAAGCAAATATGCTCACCTTTTGCAGAATAACAATTCTGATCAAAAACGAGAAAAACGCAGCTGAAGGTTAATCCAATGTGTCTGTCACAAATGATTGATGATCCATAATTCAATTTTTATGTCAAAAACTGAGTTTTCATTAGCTGCTAATGGTAGCTTCCAGAGTGTATGACAGCTTCCTGTTTTGTCTCCTTGGATACGAGTCCAAACAACTCACAGACTGCACCGGGCGCTGACGTAGGAGCCCTGTGACCATCAGATTTGACAACACTGATTGGCTGAAATTATGTTTCGGCGGCATAGTTTAAAGATAGCAACAGTTGGCTTCTGCTGCACTTGCTGCACTCCCGTCTGGGCGCTGTGCATAGCGCCCAGACGGGAGGGAGTAATGATACACGGGCAAGGCCAGGCAGGAAACATGTGACTTATCAGTAACTTTAGACATCGTAACACAATTTTAAACAAGATTTTATTGTAGATTATACATTTTACTGATACCAATTATATAATATTTACCTTGTTTATTAAAAATAAAAATAAAAATAAAAAATATATTTTTTAAATATATATTTTTTTATTTTTTTTATTTTTAATGTGGGAAGAGGGGGGGCGGCACCCCTAGCGCCCCTATGGGCCGGCCGCCACTGGGTGTAGTATTATTCATCTCTTAATCCTGCATATACTGATGTTTTTATTACGGTTAATCACGTGTTCTTTCCTTATTTTTTATGTTTTACGGTTATGTGTTTTCTTTTTGCAATTAATCTAAAAAAAGCAACAATGTCAGAAAACAATTATCTTTAACAATTGTAGCCTCATGTTGCTACGGACATATGAAGGATAACAACAAACATGTTTTTTTTGGGGAAGAAATTAAACTTTCTAACGAAATACTGAATTGAGTATTCAAATCCCCAATCAGTCAGTACAAAAATAAAATAATATAGTAAAATAAAACATGTTTTCTTTCACGTTTAATGTTTTATATTCTCCGATTTGAATTGAATGAACTCATCTTTGACATGACACTTGCCGTTTTATATACATGATGAGAACTACTGTATATATTACGTAAGGGACATTTGGTGAATATTTGCCATTGCCTGAAAGTCATTTTAATGCAGTTCCCATGGTAACTGATAAGCCTGCCCTGACGACGGAGAATGTCACTTCAGTGTGTCTTTGACAGTTTGACAAGCCGGAGGAAAAGACTGAGTCAGCCTTTCATGAAGAGCTGAACCAGCTTACTAAATAGAGCCTTTCAATTCTCACACTCAGATTTAAAGCGAGTGCTCGCACAAACATATTTGATTCGTTCAGATCCTCATCTGCTCTGAGCGGCAAACGTGATCTGTCTCCTCTAGCCTCACAGCGAATCGGATAGTTGGCTCCTCTAAGCCTGTTTTGTAAAATTTTCAGGCTTATCCGCACCACTCAGGGAGCAGGGCATCGTTTTATGTTGGATTTGCTTTAATTGTAACTTTAAATACGGGTTTGAAGCTGAAGTGCCTTAAAACTGATTCATGGTACCGTGGGTAGTCCATGTATAATTTTCTTCTGAATGAAGTAACTCTGGAATACTTTTAAAAATAGTTTAGTCTCTGCAAAACACTATGGAAATAAATCAATTGAGATTGAAATTGCTGTTTTGTCAGCTAGTGTGATATATAAGGCATCATGTCTAGCGAGCGGTTCATCATTGTGAAATGAATGCCAACAGGTTGAGTGAGAGTCCATTTTGGGAAAATTAAGCTTCACATAATGCCGCTTATTTCATGGCGTCTTACCTAAGAAATCATTGATTTGAATTTTGCTTGAAAGTAATTGTAATCCTTCAAAATATTGATTTTAAAATCATTTTGGTAGTCTATGGTAAGAACTGCATCCTTAGCAGCAATCTGAAATTCAGAATCTTGTATTCAACAAACCCCTTTAACAACATGTAATTACATGTGAATTGCATTTAACTAAATTGTGTCTGGAGCTCTAATCTTTTCAGTAAGTGTACACTTCTACTTTTCACAATTTGAATTTCAGCCGATGTTTATTCATTCACATCATCAGACTTTTTTTGCCAGAAAAAGACATTTGCAAATCTTATGTTGCAGTATAAAAACTGTCAGAAACGTAATGTAGATTCAGAGAAGCCTCAGAGCTTGTGCAAATGTCCTGGCCTGTGATGATTTGGGCGTACCAAATACAATTAAACAAGGATGTGTCAACATTATGGTGTACTGTGGGAGGGAGCCTTAGTACTGTGCACACACTTTACACGGTTTATGACTTACTGTACAAAAAGGAACATTGTGTAATATCGTATACATCTAATTTCTGACAAAGTATGTGTATGAATATTCCTAAATTTGTGCACCACATTTTCTCCCCTTGAGTCTGAACATTTTCATAAATGTTAACATTTTCTGGGGTCTGATTTTATTCAGTTATGTATGTCAGTAAGTGAACCAAGGACAGTGACCCAGATTCAGCTGCAATAAGTTTATTTACAACCCTCTGCTGTCACTTGTCACACGCTGTGGGAGCACATTTGGTGTCAAAGGAGGAAATACAGGGCCGATTATCTTAGATTATGATCTCTATTTAAAATAACAGTGCGAAGACATTTGCTTTTAGTTAATATCCTCATTTCAAAAACACTAACACAAATGGAATTGTCTAAAGTTGAAAAAAAAACGTTAACATCAGCCAGCAGAGGCTGTTGCTGTCGGTAAATGGGATCTTCCCTCTTTGAAATGAGAATATATTGAGTTAGTCCCAATCCTTAATCCCATCAACTCAAAACCACACCAACATTATGAGCCACACAGTCGCTTCTAGGAGCAAAGGCTGTAGCTCTGTTGCAGGAACTGTAACAGGTCTTCAAGCATTTCCTCAATCAGAAGAGTAGGTTAGGAATAGGATGCATGTTATGGTAAGCTTGTGTTTGAGAAAGGCTCCTGTGTGACCATGACACAGGTCACCACAGTGTTATTGCAGATAGCAGACTGTTGTTGCGCTTCTTAAAGGCTACACCAGCTAAACTATGGTAGCTGTGTCACAATCTAAAGTAAAGGTTGTTGAATAGTGTGAAATAATTTTTGCATTTATTTTAAGCTATACCCTAACTCTAAAATGTAATAATTAAAGTGAATATATTTTCCATAGCATGAAGTCGGAAGAAAATATGGCTTTTTATTTTTGGCAGTTCTCAAAGTGCTGTGAATCTAATGTGTCTGACTAAGGACATTCAGATGATGAGATCCCTAACTTTCTGTTTTCATTTAATTAGGCTTTTATTGAGTGTTTAAGGGTTAGTTTTCCAACACCTGTGCTAGTTATATCAGAGTTAAGCTGCCCTTAAGGTTAACTCTCAGTTGCACATGATTTCATAACAATTCACTCGGGCTGAGGACCAAAAAAGTCTCTATCTTATCCACCTGGTTTTCGTGGTGCAGGGAAAGCCCGTTTGACCGCCCGTCTGGATTGGCTCATGTTCAAAGCAGCTCTGATCAACAGTGACAGGAGAGGGCACCTAGGTGGCTCCTTATGTAACAGTGTAGTCAGCATCATGGCTTCCACCCAGAGGCATTCGTCATGTTGCATCCCATTTACAGCAACTAACATTACTAATGACCACTTACCCATAATCTTTAGATGACCAATCACTGAAATGCTCTTTATTTATATCACATATTTGTTTTATCCTGGGAGCGCTGCTAGCCTACTGGTTAAAGGGCATAATTGCAATGTTTAAGGTTCAAGCAGATTAAAGAAACTAAAAAATTTTTTTCAAACATTATCTTTGGCAAATGGTTGGCTGTAATATGAAATGCATATTTTGAAAATGGAAAATGTGCACGAACATGTGAAAAACAAGGGTGTTACCCCTTATTGGATATGACCATATGTTATTGCAAGCAAATATGATCTGAGGAAGTCGTACTTTTTCTCCTTGTTCTCTTCCTCGAACTGTTTGCGTTGCTTCCACTTTGCCCCCACCCATGTCTCCTTCTCAAATATCTGTTCTCCTTTTCTTTCCTCCGTGTCCACCAGGCAGCCGGGGGGGGGGTCTCTGAGGAAGATGCTGGGTCCAGAGCGCAGTGTTGTCGAAGAATGGCTCTCAGAATTCAAGGTAAAAGGCTCTCCTCTCCTCTCTTGGTGAAATGTTGTTCTGGAGGTCATCTTTTTTTACTACTGAGAAATCACATGCTGTAGGTGTAATAACTACTGCGATGAGAGTGTTGAGCGTGCAACTTCGCGCATGTCACCTCTTCAGCATTTCAGTCTTTTGTAATTGTAGTGATGCAAGCAAGAATTGTGGGCAATAAGGACAGTGAGGAGTCAGGATACTTCTATCATTGTGAACTGAATCACGCTCAACTCGTAAACTGTTCCTGAAGGATTTATGTAACACAAAACATCCAACACAACATGCCTTCACCTAAACTTGTGTTTACAACTATTCAGATCGCACTTATCCTTTAGTTTCCTTATTCTTTGAACCTACAACAACTGTTTATGCTTAAGTGTTTAAACACTAGTGCCATGTAACATTCTCTCAGGCTTAGAGCTGTTGAAAATCACAAAATAGTCAACTTCACTTACCCATATCTAAAATGTATACATGGTAACACAGTTTTCCTTCTGTTAGTGGTTTGCTTTTTTAATGTCTGAATGTGAAACAAGGTCATGTCTGCAAATATTGTGAAAAGCTCATTGTAATGTAGATTTAAGTTCAGCTGCACTCAAGTTAAATTGTGCTGTACTGTAGCCAACTGCTGTTAGTGGCAGCATGATAATATTAGCATTCGCTGTTTACCGACACACAGTTGCCTGAGCTTAGTCTGAAACATGTAAGATGGAGTTTAAGGTTAAAATAGTTACGGTGAAATCTTAAAAGACGATTGCTCCTACAGCGGTTAATTTGTGAGTGATTCTGAGATTTTCTCTCAAAAGTATTGTATAAGGATGTATTAATTTATATAACAAATGTCATTCTTCCCAAGAAAAACAAAACTATCTTAGTAAATAGCTCAGTGGCACAGTAGCTTGTTCCAAAGTCTTATCTTAATTAATTAAGCTGACTTCCTGGTGTAATTTAAGATCACTATCTTGTTTAGTGCTCTCTGGGAACACAGTGTTAGCTTCAGCTATACACCCAGTATAGTTGGGTCTAAAAATATATTTTAATCTGCAATCTGTTGCAATCTGTTACCTTGCCAAAAATGAACCGGTTACAACTTACTATTCAGGATACTTTTAAAACACAAAAAATCTAAAGAATAACTCTTAACAATATTGGAAATGTGTCTTCTTTAAGTCAGTCTGTTCCATAAGCATGACAACATACTAAAAAAGGCATCTGTGCGTTGACTATTCCAAATGATCTGTATGAGATTTAGGGAGTGCTATAGAAAGGCAAGCCAGAAAAGAAGGAATGTATGTGTAATGCAGCGAGAGCACCAAATAGTGAGAGAGAAACGAGGGAGTATGACGATGGTGAGTGAGGGAATGGATTGGTATGACTCATTGTGTGAGTTGGTGCAGGCCGGGCACACTGTGTTCTGCCCTCAAAATGACCATACTTAGGCTGGAGAGGATATCTCTGCCTGCTGTCTTCTGCACACAAACACACAGTCTTGACCATTTCAAGTATTTCTCCGCAGGATGTTCTGAGCCTGTCAGATATCATCACTCTGGGTTGTTCAGTTCCTTCAAAGAGTTATTTCGTCATTTCTTTTATCCGATTTCACTCAACCTCGCACACTGGATTGCCCAGTCAGTGTTTTCTCCACAGTGCTTTTTAAAACTACTTGAGAAAAAAGGCCTTTTTCATCAAGATTTATTGACATGTCACAATAGAAAAAGCACACAGTGTAAATAATACAATTTAATGATGAGTGAATTCAATGTAGCTGCTTCGGTTTCAGGGTCACTGTTTCAGTGCATGCTGGTTTACTGGAACGTTTGAAAAGAACAGAAATAACCTTAATATTATTGTGAACATCCGTCGTTTTTAATGAGGTGAAAATGCAAAAGGGTATGAATTTGTGCCATTTTAGATGTGGATGGAGAGTGACAAGAAATGAGTTAACCTGTGGTTTCAAAAAGAATTAAAAATATCATTTATTTGGGCAGCTGCTGGTTGAGAAATATGTGAACATTTATGTAAAACCCACATATGTGTTCAAAGAGTCCAAAGAAAACATGGAACCCAAAACATGCTTGATATCTTTTTCCAATTGTATTATAAAAATGCCTTGAATCCTATACCACTACTCTGAAAAAAGCAAGAAATGTGCGTGCAGTTGCTCATCAAACCTTTGTCTCTCCTCTCTTCAGTCCCTACCAGAAAACCGCATCCCCAGCTACGCCGGCAGCCTTCATCTGAAGAAGTCCCTGGTGTTGGCCCTCTACAGAGTCATCCAGGACCCCAACAATGAGGTGAGAAGACCCCCACTCCTACTGTAAACTGTGTCACAATTTGTGTTCTTCCATACTAACACTTGTTATTTTGAGTGCATAAATGCGTTCACACTGACCGGTATGGCAAAAAGCAGTGGTGTGTAAAGCTGGACACATCAGGCTTGTTGGATTTAAGACAACACTTCCTGAAACGCATGCACTAGGCAAGTGCGTAGATAGTGTACTACGTACATAGAAGTGTCCATAGTGAGACACGGAAATCAAATATTCCAAGTATGGCTGTTTGTTTTTGCTCCATGACTCACACAGTATGATTTGTCTTAGTTGGCAGTGAGAATAAAACGCACACAAAACTGTGTCTGCCAGCTACACTTTACTCAGGGAGAGACTGAAACATCTGCCGCCCACACTAGAAGTTATGTGCATAGTCATAGATGCAGAAACAGAAACTTTATAAACACACACTAGGTCACATTTATTTATTTTAGCTGTGCTGCAACACACGAGCACCTCACTGTTTTTAAATGTCTTCAAAACCAGCATGGCTAAACCTGTATTTTCTCTTTAAAGGACCTAATGAGGCACTTTTTGAGCAAAGGCCCAAGGCACTCAATGAGACGGGCCTTTAATTTCATTCTAATTATACAGTTGGTGCCTTACAATCCCCCCCCCCACCCCCAGTTCTTTCCCGCTTCTTCATGGTCGAATTCGGGTGTCAAGCAACCAGGGATCTAAATTCCATTAGTGTTGTCGATCTGGCTGCACAATCCCATTAACGGTGTGATCCAGGAGAGAGCTAATGTGTGTGTGTGCACGTGCAAATGTCTGTGTGTGTGCGAGTGTGTGTGAGAGAGAGATAGGTGGCAAAGTGTGCTTGACTTTTGCATGTTTGGTGTTTTTGGCTGATGACATGGAGGGCCATATGCCTTGCCAAGTTCATTAATAAGTTGACGCTCCCAGGGTCGGCCACACACACACACACACACTGACAGTAGTGCTGTGTGGGCACTCTCTTCACTGACCCCTGAGCAGTATAAACACATTGGCTCAGCTGGCTCCCCCGAGAGAACATCTGACCAGACTTCCATTGTAGTGATTTATCCCCTCTGCTCCTACACGCCTCCACTATTGACCCGCAGCAAAACTTTCCCTCCATCAGTCCATCCCACCGTGCCTTCAGTGTTTTAGTCAGGATGACATTCATTCATGTTTTATTATAAGCCATTTATTTTTGATATTTGGAGCTTGACATATGCTTTTTATTAATCAGGTTATCATACTAGGAGTTGCAATTTGAAACTAGCCAAAAATGGCTGAAAATACTGTATCTAGCCTCTCAAATATGTTTTATTTCATTTTCTATTTCATTTTCTCAGTTTTGTATCATGTTAAACTGAATATCTGACTGGACGGACACAACTTGACATTTAAAGACATTTGAGACTGACTTTTTTCACCATTTTCTTTCATTTTATAGCCCTGGTGATTATTTTGTTAATCTAGGGGGAAAAGGCATTAGTCGATTTAATAAAAATGTACTTTCAGCCTCCTCTTCCATCTCGTTTTTCATTTTATTTTATTTTATATCTCTGGCATAGTAACATGTAAATGTACCTTAATTCCACGAGAGTCTGAGACTTCGTACTGATTTGCATTCCTTATGTCCCCTCCTACATTCCAGCTGATGGAGCCGGTGTGCCACCAGCTGTTCGAGCTGTACCGGAGCTCTGAGGACCGCCTGCGCCGCTTCACCCTGCAGTTCCTCCCCGAGCTGGTGTGGGTCTATCTGCGCATCACGGCGAGCCGGGACCGCCAGAGCAACGGCTGCATCGAGGCCCTCCTCCTGGGCATCTATAACCTGGTGGGTGTCTGTAGAAGTGGCACTGGCAAAACCTTCTAACAGTGTGTTCACTTAGCACAATTTATTATTAACGTGCTAGCTTTAAGATGATTTTTTTGTGAGCTATTTTGCATCAACACTCTTTAGTTTATTAACAATTACTAAGAAGGAATCAGAAAATCTATTAAAAGTGGCTTTTAAGCATCATCTACAGTTGGTCAGGACTGCCAAAGTTAAGCCCCTAAGGTTCAATTTGCCCTGGCAGATGTTCTTAGTTGAAGAAAATGTGTCATTTTAACAGTTAAACTGTTCTATTTGTTGTTTTGTTTGTTGTTAGGTTAAAAAGGCTCTAAACATCAAGTATCACAAATTATTGTTTGTCTAATGGTCTGAGCAAGGACATCCAGAGTAATACTTTGTTCTGGAAGTCCGTTTGGCACAAGTGAGGTAATGAGAGGTACTAGTGGCACACAAGACATTTGGATTATTTATTGCTTTTGGCTAGCCGTTAAGTTTCAGTTTTGGCTCTCAAAGTGAAAATAATTGGGCAGTTGTGGTCAAGGTCAAGACTGCCTTCGAGGAACTCTGAGTCCCTACAGCTTGAGGGATGATGCCCTGTCAACGACCCTGACAGAGTAACACTTCATTGCTATCACCATCATATCCATCAGCAGGGATACCCACAGTGTCATAGTTCCCGCTGTTGAAATTAATAATATGCCATTATTTTTCCACTGGTGAATATGGATGAACACAGGTAGATGTGATATTTGTAGATGAAAGGCTGATCTTTTCTTTGAACCGTATCCAATCACATTTGTTTCTATAACTTTGAAGATAGCTGTGAAAGGCTCTGTGTTAATATTTGGTTGTCTCTTTGGACTTAATAATACAGGTGAAACATTAGCGAGGCAGTACGTCTGTTGACATTAAAGACAATCTACAGGGAAATCTCCGGTTGATGGATAGACCCAGGATAGATTGCATCACCAGGAAACACCCTTAGGGAAATGGGCTAAGAGCTAGAGATATCAATAGGAAGAGCTCCATGTCAGCCAACACCATTGAAGGTATATCCATGCATAATTTATTCCTCCATACAACTCCACACTCACACACACCGCTGCCCTGTACATACTGTAGATGTTTCTCCTATGGTCATTGGTGACTCTGCTCTGATAAACAGCTCTGCTCTCAGCAGGTCCATTAGATATTCAGAGATATACTTCTGGCCAGTGAAGGGCAGGACAAGGCCTAAGTACAGGATGTTGGGGAATACAATTGAAAAATACTTGTTTGGTAACCCAAGTTATGGATGCTTGGAAGAGTCAACTTGTTTTTGTGGCTTTTTATTTGCATTAATTTACTAAGCCAGGAAAAAAAAAACTGACCACTTTGACAGAAAATGTTGCAGTAAAAGCACATTCATCCATATTTAATGATACAACATATACTCCACCACCTACCACATAATACATGGATTATACAAATAATACCCAGGATTTTTACACACTTAAACTTCAATGGGTTCCTTTTTTAATATGCTAATGTGTCTCCCCGCTTTTCTCACTCCGTCTCTTCCTCACGTCTCCTATTGAGGAATATGAAAGAGATTTCTGCTTTAGTAGCGTCGGTCTTAAGAGACGTCGGTTTCCTATGGCGGCACAGCTTTGTGTCACCTAGAGGTTTGTCATGTATACGTCACACCACTTCACAAAGACTTCTACTTAGGATGCTCCTGTGTGCTCTAAGCGCCTCTAGGAGACGATTTTCAGGGTGAAGAGAGGACGTGAAGAAGCACAAGCTAGCGTAATGGAAACAGCCTAGGTCTCCCAATCAGTTTCCCACTAGGCTAACATGTTGTAAAAACAATTACTTTGATAATGACTCTTACACACCACTTGAATTGTCCTCGACGGCGCGTAATTGGTTTACAGAGCAAAGTAGGAATAACAAGTGCTTTTTGTCAAATGAAGAATGCTCATCTCAACGTCTCTGTGAATGGACTTCATTATCGCTTCCACTGCGGCTGCGACTGGTTCAGATAACCAGGCATTACTTTTAGAAACGGCATCATGTTCATGGACTCATTCCTCTTTGGGCTATGTATCACAATTGGAATTGAGTGGTGATGGTGATGGTGCTGGCAGTGACATTTAATCTGTCAGAGTCAATAACACGTCCCAGCAGAATGGTCTTACACCAACAGCGTAAGAGTCGGGGGACGGTACAGTCATCCGTATGCTGCTAAATGCTTTCACCCAGGCCACAATGAAGGGCTTATCTGGGTAAAAGATATGCAATCAGAATTAAAATCTAAATATAGATAAAAATCAAGCATAAAACTGTTTAAAACAATTCTCTTTTTCTGTAATAACAATTTTTTCTGTGTCTTTTTTTTTCTGTTTTTTGTTTTGCAGGAGATCGTTGACAAAGAGGGCAACAGCAGGCTTCTCTCCTTCACAATCCCATCTCTGTCCAAACCATCGATTTACCATGAGGTGGGGCTCCTATGAATTATTTTTCAATGTTTTAGAGTTATTTTTGTATATACAGCACCACTCTTATCAGTGTACTTTCACTGTTTTTGCCCTTCTCGTCCTCTTTTGCTGATCCGTCTCCTTCTCTCTGTCTATGCATTCTTCCCGCTGACTGTTATAGAGATTTATTTAAGTGGCTGTTTGGGAGATGACAACTCCTCAGTGTCAAACGCTACAGGAGGTCCATTTTCATTAACCTCACCTTCAGGGCTTATCCATCTGTGTGTTTAAAGGTGTCAGGAAGCACCCAACAACTGTCAGAAGACACTGAACAAAGCCTCCTCAGCTCACTTATCGTCTACAGCAAAAGCTTCACTATGAATGACTTTTTTAGTAAGATTGTCCCATTTATTTTTGCTCTTTCTTATGATGTTCAGCCTGAGGGTAATTATTAGTTTTGACTAACTATCACCTGAAGTCTCTCAGAAGGACTGCACTCTCTTTTTTTTGTTATCCACCAGTCTGATTTTGAAAATATTTAGCATGAAAATGTGGGCAGGCATACAAGGTCTAGGCAGGTTCTTCTGTTGCTTTAAAATAAGCTGACTTTAAACTTCTATCCAGTGTTAGTAACCTGTCTGCTAAAACAGGTCACAGTATTGACTGTTGTGTTGACCTGGATTTCACTAGGAAGTTGTTTAACAGGAACTGCTGACCTAGGATCTTTTACTGAGGGCAGAGAGAAGCAGTGTTTGGCTAGTCTCTAGGGTTTTTTCTGCAACACAAAACAGAGCAAACAATATTTATTCATACAGTATGACAGCCATCAGTAGGTGCTTGTGAGTGTGCTCGTGAGTGTCGATGGGACTACAGTGTGTGGCGCATGCTGAGGGCGATTCATCGCTGTAATTACAAGCTTGAGAGGCTCTTCCCTCCATGCTGTGAGAATGAAGAAAGCATGGAGGCGGGTGAGGGGAGGTCTTCGTGTGTGTGTGAGTCACATCAAGCTTATCAGGCTGTAGTACGGCTCCACGCATCACAGGGCCTTTTCCCCAGACCTCCAGCATTAGCATGCTCCCCAGTCTCTCTTTTTGAATGAATCCAGCCTCCCCTCCATCACCAATACGGCATCACCCAAGATACGTATGACAGAATATCAAGTCGGTTTAGGGGTGACTTTTGGAGTGGTCATGTAGCATATTCTCACTTGGACATTAGCAGTTACGGCCCGTCCACACAGCAGCGTTAAAAACATCTTGGAGGTGGGCGTATCTGAAGCTTGGGGATTTTTTGCGAGCAAGGCACCAACAACCAATCACATGAATCTCCCGCCCCCGACATACGAAGCAAAAAAGCTTGAAGTAAACTGGATATAAACTCCCCAAACAGGCGAAAACCTACCACTGTCTCTGCCACCTCCCTCCATGCCTGGCTCCTCCGGTTTATATCCCGGTAGGTAAATAGGGACTGGTCATAAAGCACCGGGTGATTCCCTACCGCTAATTTCTCCTCCTTTTTTTTTGAATATGAGGAAATGACCTGCGGTTTGATTGGCTAGCGCTTGAACTGTCAGATTTGCATACACGGGATTTGATTGGCTGACGCTTCCACCTCAGCTTCAAAAGTTGAACATTGCTCAACTTTGATTCCTGAAAATCCTGAAAATCTCCGCTCTGCTGCCCACAATGCAGTTCGGCGAAAAGTGAGGCAAAGTGACGTCACCCCATTCAAAGTGAATGGGCAGAAGCGTTCCAAGATTTTTTTAACCTCTTAAGCACGGCGCTCCCCCCATTGGACCCCTCCCACCGTTTTGTTTTCGAGATAATGTCTCGGGGCTTCTTAACATTTATGAAACTATTAATGTGTAGCACCAGATTAACGGGAAGAATCTCAGCTAACTGAAGATATGAACCATTTTTACCAAAACAAAACACAAGTCTCATAAGAAGCGTCTAAATGACCCCTGAGCGAAAAAATTCTAATGCACTGCGGCACACAATTCAAGATAAAGATACCCTTATTACTTATCGTAGCTGCACATACAATATATCCGATTAAAGCTGAGACTCCACTGATTATTTAGGTATAGTATCATCACTGAGCGATCCGAACTTGCGACAGGGGAAGCAAACACAGACATCACAACACGTACCTTGTTGTTGATCCATAGGTTGATAATGTACCTGTGCCTTTGAAAAAATTATTTATAATCCATAATTCCATTTTTTATGTAAAAATCGGAGCGGAAAAGTTAGCTGCTAATGGTAGCCACCAGAGTGTATGCAGCTTCCGGTTTTGGTAACGCGTCACTCTCACTCCTTATAGAGTGGCGAAGTCACGCCCACTTACTTCCGGGTAATGGGACCTTATTTCGGAAAAATTATGCATTGAAGTCAATGGGGAGAGAAAACGTATCTTTCGATCCCGTTTGAATTGTGCCATGAATTACACATATGATGTTTGTCAATCTTAAAAAATAATTTCCATGTCAAAAAAGTCACAGTTTGTCGTAAAACTGTTGAAATATAAGACTATGAAAAATACGTAACTAGAAAGACTACAAATCCCAGAGTCGCGTAAGTGATGTCACAATTGTTTTCCTCCACCATTCAGATACCTAAGATCAGCGCAATATAGATATAATCTATCTATATGGCGCTGGCTAAGATAAGATAACTTTAACAAGATGCCTGTGTGCTTAGTACCAGGTTGTTATTATACCAGCAATGGGTCTTGCTCGTTCTTTTGCTTCCCGTCTGATGAAAGGACCAGGAGTGGCTTGATCAAGTTAGCTACCTAGCTAGTAGCTAGCACGTTAGTTAGCATTACAGCCTTGTCATTTTTATTAGCCTTAACATGAAGTAACATTAAGTAACCCAAAATGTTAAACAGTAAGAGTAGTAGTCATATTTCGTGAACCCTTTCATAGTATATAGTACTGTCACCGGTGTGATCATTCTATAATACACCATTTAAGCCCGGGGGAGAAATGCTAACGCTAACGTTAGCATCGGCGATCTTCTCTACTTCATGCTATCTGCACAAATGGTTGACATTAAACATTAAAACGACCAGGCAGTTCAGAGAGAATCAAAGGAAGGCAGGCAGGCAGCTTTGCATGACATTATTCAGGACGTGTTTCATTGTGCTGATAGTGAGGATAGTCAATCGTTTTGTTGACAAGACAGTAGTGACGGCCATCTTGGTGACGTGTGTTGTTGACCAGAGATGTAGTTCATTGAGCGTTTCACACAAACAAATGTGTTACTTCACAGTTTTACGACACATTTTTTTTTTTTTTACTTGCAAAATTATCTTTTAAATTGACAAACATCATATGTGTAATTCGTGGCACAATTCAAACGGGATCGAAAGATAATCTTTCTCTCTCCATTGATTTCAATACATAATTTTTCCGAAATAAGGTCCCATGGAGCTCCACCGGAAGGGGAGGGACTTCGCCACTCTATTTGTTAACGTTTTGGTCTGTATATAACTTTCCCTCGATTCCATTGGCTCTAGCGGTTATAAAGAGATTTCATTCATCAAAATCGAGCAAGGGGGGCCAGAGATAGGTCAAATCCACCCAAATGACCCCAGAAGTGGGTTTTTTTGGCTAAACCTCTCTAAAAATGTCAAATTTCACTTGTTTTGCATCAATCTTGATACAGGGTACTTATTATATGTTGTACTTTGGATTCCTAAAGCTTTTAGTCTACTAACCCATCATCCAAGGGTAGTTTTCACTATAAGTAAAAAAGAATTTTTGGACGGACACTATAATTTACAGTTTTTTACTATGTAAAATCTGAATTTTCTTTAAAATAAAAAACATCTATATTGATTCTGACTTTTCTACATCCAACTCACAGATTTATCATTACTTTGAGAATAAAGATTATTAATTTAACCCTTTTAGAAGGGAAGATATGGTCATTTGTTCTGGGAATGTCATTTTCGAGCCTGAGACCTGAAAAACAGGCTCAGGGCTTAAGAGGTTAACGCTGCTGTGTGGACGGGCCGTTATTTGTCACTGTTTCAGTCGTTACTTGTGCTACAGTACTTTCCCCTGAATTTGTTTTAAATAAAATACAGGGTTTAAAAAGGATTTGCTTATTCTCTCAAGCAGTGGAACTTCCTGCTTTCATACAGTGCAGACGCTTTTCTTCTTGCTCTCACTACATATCTGTTGTATCATTTTTTGAATAGCATCACAGATCAGGTAGTGACAGCCGAAACGAGTGCCTTACTTATTAAAGGTTCGCCATGTGATGTTTGAAGTAACAACTTGACATTTACACCACAAAAGGTTAATGTTTTATTTCATGAAAGTGAATGACCTTTCTGGTGTTAGGGGAGGTTATCTTTATGTCAGGTGAGGTGTCTCACTTCAACTATAAAACACTGCAGGACACCCTAACCTGTCAGAATAGGTGCGAAGAAGGTAGTGGAGGGACTCAAATAGAAACACGGATGAAATGGTTGAAAGGAACATTTGAAGCTTAATGTAGCATGAAGGACTGTGTAGAAGATTCAGGGAAAAATGCAACACGTAACTTTTAGTGTGCAGTCAGCAGTTTCTCGCTGAACATGGAAACAAATCCCAACTTTAGAACCAATAAATAGGGCGACCAGAAAGCAATCAGGCGCTGCCAGTTAATGCTCTCAGGGGAGAGAGAGTTTGGCGGAGGTCCAGTTGTAATATCATTCCTCTGTAATGAAATCTGAACACTAATCACAGCAGTTTTCCATCTGAGCAGAGGCTCCCGTTTGTCAATCAACAACTTGATGGGCACAACAGCTAGTTTGCTCCACATTAGAATCGCAACATCATCATTGTCAATTTAATAGCATGTTGTAAGAGCCACCACAGTGGACAAGTGTTACATTTATGGGAGGCGAAAGCTCTATTCTGGAGGTGTTTACAGGCTTTTGTATATCATTAATTAACTGATTTATATAACATTTTATTCTTAAATGTATTGGGGAATTGCTTATTTTGACTGTATTTTGACAGTGTTGAACGTATTTTCTGTTTATTTTTTTACTTTTTTCTGTTTTGTGATACAAAAAGTTATCCAAGTTTCTCTCTCAAACCCATAACTCAAGATTTTTGTACCTGGCTTTATCAAATGTTCAGATTTCGATCCTGGAAACAAATGCAAATTAGCAAGTATTCACAGCGGAATAAGATCATGCCTCATTTGCATATGTAAATGCAAATGACATCTCATAGAACTTTAAAACTGTATGCAAGCAATCGACTGTGGAAGTTTAATGGTAATATCTATTAGTTAACATTTAAACTAAAACTGTTTTTTTTGTTTTTAGCCTTCTAGCCTGGGGCCCATGGCATTAACAGAGGGGGCCCTCTGTCAACATGATCTGATCCGAGTGGTGTACAGCGGCCTCCACCCGCAGAGAGAGACCTTCACCGCTCAGAACAGGTAACACTCCATCAGCTGTGAACAGACAGGGAATAATCTGAGACGCAGTAACGCCACAAAAGAGTTAAATGGCAGCCGTTTAGAGACATTATGCTAAGTCTTCTGTTCTGAATGGCTCGCCAGAGGGGCGAACCTTTTGTTGCTTCTTGGAGACAGACAAATGGCAGCACAGAGAAATGGCAGCGCAGTGGGCCGTTCAGCCTCACTAAACACAGGTGGCCCCACCAGACTGTCATCATTCCCTCCTATTTATTTTTTCCCTTTCTTTCACATCTCACCCTTCCCCATAAGATGAAAAAGACCTTTTAAGATGATCAGAGCATAACCCTTGACTCTCATTCAGCCTCTTCTGGCCAGACTAAGCAGACCTGAAAGCTTTCTTGGCTCTTACAATTTTCTCTGCAGCTGTGGATGAATGGTAATCTTAGCATAGCAATGAAGCGTGCTGGAGTCCTGCCAGAAAATGGTGGTGCTTTTTGTTTGCAGTGACACATGCGCAGAGACTGACACAGCATCAGCTCTGGTACCTCAGAGGTGTGGGGGCAGCACAGATCACACTGGTCATCCCAGCCTTGTCCAAAGCAGCGTCCCCCCGGTGTCATAAATACATTGAATGGATTTCAGCAGGGCCGGGCCTCATAGCTTATCTGGAAACCCATTTGTGTGCCCGGGCCTGGGATAGTGTTTATGAGAAGAAAGCCTGAAGCTCCTGAGCGGTACCGGCTCACTCTGACTGATGATATACTACGAGGCCATTTACCTCCCCCTGCGAACAGTCAATTATGGCCCTTACACTCGAGGTCTTCCTTCTGGATGTACTCTATCAATACACACACTCTCCAAAACACACATGCACCAAATGGGGATGCACAATATTGATATTTGTACAGAGATTTGAAAATGGATCACTTCAAGTAGGTTGTTTTGCTCTCATTTCAACACCATGTCTCTTCACCAGAAGCATCACTGTGATCTATGAGACTTTACTAACGCTGCCTCTGTCCCAAATGATCTTGAGAATTGTCCTCATGTATCTGCAGTCCTTCAAAACAGATGACCACAAACCCCTTAACTTTAATGTAATATTTAATTGTATGCGTCATTTGTCAACATGACATTTGAAACACCTCACTCTGTTATCAAAGAACCAAGGTTACGTTAAATAACCCAAAGTGTTTCACGGCAGCAGATAGCTTTGAGTTGTCGAGAATATGAGGTATATTTTTTCGATTTCCACGCAACACACTGACTGCAACAAGTGAAAACGATACAACAGATACGAATTTACATCATTCTTATAATGTTTTATCTATTTTTGCCTTTGTTGCCAAAGGAAACTGCTAGCACTGTGTAAGCAGCCGACTTTTTAGCTCAGTCCCCTCCATAGTCACTTGTGCGTGCATTCTTTCTGCAGACTCTAACCCCTAGATTCCACCGGGTCCGTCTGCGTCGCGTTACGGCTGCGTTACGGCTGCGCCACGGCGTTTGCAAAGATCGCGGCCACTCTAGTCAATGGGTGCTATTCCACCAGACGCCAGCGTTCTCCTCCGGTTTACAGGCACTGTGTAAATTATATATATATAGAATAATTATGATGATGAATGCATTTTTTTACCACTAAAATACAGCAACACATCTTTGATTCATGTCGTTTATAACTGGAATATTACAATTATTATTAACTTTGTCTGTACAAAGTAGCCTGTCCAGGAAATATGCCCAAATCAACAAGAACTGCGAGCCGGCAGGCAAGACGCTCCGCTTCTGAAATGCTTCTGAAATGCTTCTGAAACGTGCCCGGTAGGGTATGACGCCGGAGGAGGCCGGACCAAAACCGCGGCGCAGCCGTGACGCGACGCAGACGGACCCGGTGGAATCGAGGGGTAAGGCTGCAGCCAGACGAGGACGATAACGGTCGTATCTGCTACAGTTCTCTATCAGATAGACAGTTCGGCCACACGAGGCCGACATGGAAACGCAGAAAACGATAATGGGTCCCAAGGTGGGTAGATCTGCGGACGAAACGCTCTGGGGGGCCAAACGGCTCCGTGATTACGCCTATACGATCATTTCCTGATAACGATTACGCAATAGCCCCAGTGTTTCGAGCCAGGTCCTGGTATCTCGCAGGACAGTGCACCCAGCAGGAACTTCCAGCTAGATTTGATCGATATGGACATAAATGCGAGTGAAGTCTAATCGGACAGGAGAGGAGACACGCAGCTCTGCATGATAACCTGCAGCTCCGCCCGCTGTGATGGAGCGATGAGCGGAACAAAACACACACTTCAAGTTAGATCATCACCCTTAGCTATTTTAATTACCTCTCAAACTACCTAAACTAGTTTACCTAAACTCATTACTGGATCAGCCAGCTGCATGAGACCACGGATACTGACGGGCTGTCAGGAGAGGGGGAGGAAAAGAGAGGCTCCGTCCTCCGTGTATTATTCTTATATTATTATATAGAGTCGTTATTCATTTGTTTTAAAGCTCAATAAATAACAAAGAAGACCTTTGACCGGCACTTTTCTAATTTTGTCCGGAAGATTTCAACTTTAACGGACATGTTGACCGGCGAAACCCCACCTCTGCTGCCAAATCCAGCGCGGAGAATAAACAGAAGGGCAACCATGGCAACCATGCATGCGCGAGAAGTCTTCTTCGCTGCTTTTGGTGTATTTTGTGGCAGAAGTACAGCGCCACTTACTGTACAGGCCCGGCATACAGCGTCTCCAGCGGGTCGAGCTGTCTCGTGTGGACGGACACGTTTCTGGTGCCTATTGCGTGTGGACGGAAGACTTTTTTGATAACGATTTCGGTGCGTTTCCGTTATCGTCCTCGTCCTCGTGTGGCTGCAGCCTAAATGTCATATAGCACCTTTAACAAAAGTTAAATATAATGCGTGCATATGCCCTGTGAATCAGATCTGCTCCAAAACGGCTTCTTAACTATCCCTTGCTACACCTTTCATCCAAGTTTTATGAAAATGGGGCATTTACAAAAACTGAACCATAACCACTTTAGCGAAGGTCATTACTGCCTTATTGCTGAATATTGTACCAACAAAGTCCCGACTCTACACACTGACATGGTGTGTTGAGAGTTTAAGGGTGATCCCTGCAGTACAGCAGGCTTTTATTCATAGGTAGTTCACAAGGAACAAAACGGCTTTGGCAAGCAGTTTTGCTTAAATTGCTTAAATTGCATGAGCACCTCTACCTAATTGTCTACAGCAAAGATGTCAACGTTGAATAGAATGTTAAAGGATAATTGGACAGGTTGGGGTTTAGCTGAATTTAATGAAAGCTGCTTTTAGAATCTTACATAATATCCTTCTTGGTGGAATGAATGACAGAGTCTGTTCTACTGTGCTTCATTCAGACTGTTTTTATGATTGCAGGTTTGAAGTGCTGTGTTTCCTCATGCTCTGCTACAACTCTGCTGTGGTGTACATGCCTCTGTCCTCCTACCAGTCTGTCTGCAGGATGAGCTCACGGTGAGGAAAACTCATGTAAAAAGCATGTGGAATATTTTCTGGTCTTTTATTGTCCAACGTTTTGTCCTTTCTTTACCCTATGAGTGACCACCTGCTCCTCTCCTACCTCCATTACATGCTCTACTGAATCTAGCATTAAATAATGTCCTCTACCCTGTAGCCATACTCTGACCTTGATACAGACGGCCCTGGTTGCAGGAGGATCTGATAAGTACTATTTCATAAAGGCTCAGTTGTCTGCGGATGAAAGCATCGCTGCTGGATACCTGTCCATCTGGGAAACACAGCGATGCCCTGGAGTGAGGAGAAAGGCTTAATGAGGAATTCACAATGTGAGGCTGTGTAGTGCAGCCGCCGCCCTGTGGTCGCTGCACCGCAGCTCGCAGGCGCTCCAGGATTTGAAGACTTCCCTACTGGGAGGCGGACAACGCCTGAAGGAAGCTCGGTCTAGACAGGCGGCAAACTGAGACTGTGAACACTTCAAAGCACCAGAACAATGCTCAGTGTCTGAATCTAGACCCCCAACATCCCGCCGTCTGACCTTGTCTGACCTCGACAAGTGGAGAGTACATTTTCCCCCTTTGCTGTTTGTGTGGTTTTCTAAAGTGAATGATGTTTTGTTAAGATATTTTTCCAACCTAATGTCATTATTCTTGAAAAATACAATAACGTCTCAAATTTGAATTACATTTGGACTTCACCTTAATGAAAATGTAATAATAATAATGTAATATCTTGACCAGTGATGCAATCCAATGTCCTGACTGCTATTATACAATTAGTTTTACCAATAATGTAATGGGTCTTTTTTTTTCAGAACTGATGATGCATCATTTTGATCAACCTAATGTAGTATTTAAAAAGCCATTTCAAAGACACTGCTATATATTGCATACGTGAACACATTACATTCTGAGTAAAAAATAATACTTTTTAAAGTTATTACATTATTCCTCAATATCATTATATCAGAAGCTTTAAGTAAAATATCCACCTTGTAGGCAATACATTATTGTTAAAAATATGTTATTAGATTATCAGTAAGGACATGTTTCTTCATTCTTAAATTATAATATAAAATGACATTTTATTACAGTTTTTGAAAATATTACATTATTTGTTGCTCCAGTTCTTTTCCTCAAGGCTCATCTTTACTCATCTTACTAACGTGACTTTGTTTGTTTGTTTGTTTACTCCTCAGGCTGTGTGTGTGTGGGTTCCCCCGGCAACAGAAGAAGCTTTGGAGGGAACCGTGCAACCGCGTGCTGCTCGACCCGGAGTTCATGGTGCAGATGCTGACCGCCATTTATCACGCCATGTATGTATCTCAAGCTGCAATGACTGATAGTTTCCTACTTGTTAGCAAACAGCTGCTCATGTACAAACCCAGCAGTCAGGGTGCAACATAATAATTCAATGGGAGCCACCTTGTGAATATAAGTCTAATAATTCCTCTCTGTTAGATCAGTTTGTTCTCTACCAACTCTTGAGGGAAATATGTGATAAATAGCTGCCAAATGCTCTGCTGTGGTTGGTTGCTAGGTGCTTACTGCGTCTGTCTTCCCTTTAGACTATCTATCCCCGAGCGGAATTTTTTTTTATATATCTAATAATAAAAAAGATGCTGCTGCCAAAAAGGAACAGAGAGTGAAGCAAGGTAGTCAAGTTTCACCTGACAGCAAAACAATGAACGGAAAGTCGCTAAAAATGTCTGTAAAGCCGTGGGGGGGTGATGATTCTCTGCAAGTTCACCACTACGAGCGACCCCTTCCTGATTGTCACATTGTTTCCACTGTCATTTGATACATTGTTATTTAAAAAATCAATTAGAGCTGCACAATTGGCTTTCATCCCTGCCGTTTTACATCACCACTCTTTCTGGGAAGATCATGGAGGACATTAAATAAAAGATAAAACGCAATAGGGAGAGTGATAATCTCTCGTTTGTTGCGCACATTAACAGATATCATCACCTAAAGGAGTTCCTTTATGAGCTACATAACACACTATTTCTCATTTCTGTTACTGTGGCCCTGTGGGACATCACTAATGAGGGCAGTCTCTGCTAGTATTCTGCGATCCACTGCAGAAAATCTCATAACAGTGTACTCCACCATGGACTGAAGCTCCCCACTGTACGGACTGATTACATCGGCAGTGCATTGTGGGAGCAGGTGATTTCATCCCCTATGAGGACAATTGTTGCAAAGCTGATTACGGCCTCACGTTGAAAACTCGTCCTCGAGATGGATCCCCTGATACGAGAGTAAATGGAATCGCCATGGTTAAGGATTGTGATGAAGGAGAGGGTGGAGGGAATGAGTATGCATGCTACCTCATCGCTCCCATGAGGGTGCAATGCAGCAATCAGGAGATTGAAACAGTCAGTTCTGCTGGAAAAAGAAGTGTGTGGGTGTAAGAATAGTAGCCGTTTTAGTAATCCCTACCATAGGTCACCCTCAGTGCCAGCCTGAAGTCTCACATTCACCTTGAGCTCTAGCAGGTGCATGTGAATGGCAGATAAATACGAATCCATTGAGGACACTCTGGGATTTAGGTTAATAAGTCTGCTAATGCTACAGTGTATAATACCACATAAGGAGAACGAGAGGAAAGGACACGGGGATATCAGAACAAATAGACACATGCCAGATTGTCGTTTTTGAAGGTTTGAAATGTATTCCGGACAGATTTTCCATCCTTACAACATCACAGAGTCTGTTTTTACCTGCCCATTCACAGCTTCCCTTTCATCTCGAGTGTAAAGAGACGCCCACGCATTTGTCCCCGCCTGTGTGGGCCGGATCAAAGGGAGTTCAGCCGTGCAGTTTTTTTGTAAATGTTTAATGTATTTATTTCCTGCTGCTCTTCCTTGTATCAATCTCGTTCAACTGCACGGTTGTGAAATCACCTTCTGCAAAGCTATCAAGATCCTTCATTTTTAGCAAAGAGCCAAAACATTGAAACCACTCCTCCAGTTCCATGCATTCTTTATTCACACTATTTCCATATCAGCTCATCACATTGACTCCACACAAATGACCAGGGTGGAGTTTTAAAAAACTGCCAGGGAATGGTAATTTAATGGTTAAACAGATAATAGTGTGACAGACGTAACAACTCCCTGACTGGATAGCTTCTCCTTCCCTCCCTCACTCAGGCTGCAGGCATACTTTAAAACTAATAATAGTTCACAAGGATGTGACTCAGACATCAAGGCATTTCATCAGGCGCTCCTGTTTACGCAAATAGGCTCACAACATGACGTTAAATGATTTTGTGTTTTGTGATGTGTAGATATAATGGAGAGTGGGAGATGGGCCGGGAAGCTCTGGAGGACGTTCTGTACCGAGCCCAGCTGGAGCTTTACTCCCAGCCTCTGTTGGTAAGAGCACCAGCACTGTGTGTCTGTGGAGTCAATCACTTATATAACTCAAGACAAATACAAAACACTATAGTCTAATGATGCTTTTGATCTGCCAAACGTTACACAAATCAGCATAGAAGTTTTTAATGTATATAGTACACTATGTTAATATGTTTCTGACCCCCTTAGTTGATTATTATTATTGATATTAGAGAATATTCTCATGTATGCTGTATATTTTGTAGTGTGTATTCTTGGATACTGGTCTGAATATATGTCTTTTCTTTTCTTTCTTTTTTTTAAACTTTGTTTTTATTGTTTTTCATTTTTGTTACAATAATGAACAGACAAACAATATGAAAGCAGACCATTTTTAAGAAATGTAGTAATTCTAATTGCTGCTTTGACAAAACAATTTCGCAATTTGGGATAAATAAAGTATATATCTTTCTCTGTCTATCTATCTATCATAAATCAGCAAAGTCGGGCTCATAATGACGCTTTCAATCTTGTCTTACTTTTTTTGTTTCTGTGTACCGGTCATCTCCAGCTGGCGAACGCCATGAAGAACTCGCTGCCAGACAGCGCTCCCGATGAGCCACGGGGGCGCAAGGTGCTCCAGGTGGAGGTGACACCCACCATCAACCGCATCTCCATGTCAGCCATCACCACCGCCTCCATACGACGCCACCGCTGGAAGAGAGAGGGTAAGACCTGCCGTCATGGCTGCAGCCAACAGAGAAGTGGAGCAGGAGAGCTCTCAGTAGATGTGACAGCACAGTAGATCCATTACATTACCTCTTTTTTCTAGTGGCCTCATTTTTGATTTAGCTCAGTTGGAGTTATGTTATGCAAGGAAAAGGAGCAGTGTTCTTAGGATTTAAGATGTAACTTACAAACGTTTCCCCCCGATCAGTGGAATGCCACATGAGAGAACTATTTGGTGAGAGAATAACTTTCCTCCTGTTTGTCCATAGCAGTGGGAAGGAAATCTGTTTCTGTGTAAAAAAACAATCACACCATGAGCATCGTCCAAATGGTTTGATGTCAGTATGTAATTGTTGTTATGTAGCCTCTCTGTGTTAAAGTGCTTCTGCCGCTCACTGCTCTTCTTTTGCTTGTCTATCAAGTGTGTGCTGTGCTTTGTGTCACCAGTTAAATTTGAGGTGTGCCGTTTATGAGAAACACCCGACAAAATGGTGCCTGTAGATCCTACTGACTCCATTTTAACCTGGGTGATAAATGGGGCAGTTAATTTATTTAAAACTATCAATTTGTAATCTACGAACCAATTTACAGACAGCTGTTAGACCCGCTGTGCCCAACATGAGGCCCAAATCAGCCGAGCCTCTCCGCCACTAAAGAAACACGTTTCCCCGTCTGTGTTGTTGACTCCCAGATTGTTTTGACGACTCAGCCGCTGCAGAGTTGAGCCACATCGTCAATCCTCCTAGCTACAACAAGCACCACCACCGGCATCAGCATCAGCACACTCCCCGGGACCCCGCAACCAAAGAGGAGAGAGAAGGGCGGCCTCACAGCCACCACAGCAGCAGCAGCGGCATCATTCCCCCCATCACATTTGAGGGTAGGGGACAGGGGCAGACGCTCAGAGCAGAGAGGGTCTCAGGAGGAGGTGCCGCTTCGATCTGTATCTCCCCAACCCTCCTCCTGCTCCTTCCTCTCCTCCTCCATCAAATTGAGGGAGTTAACCTCTGCCGTACCCATATTGGCCGCCTCTTCACTTCCCCAGAGTATACTAACTCATCCAGTCTAAAAGACTCTCTGCCAACTCTACTACTAGACCACTGCTATTTTTAGTCTAATCCAAGAATGGAAGAGTCGCTTATTCTGGGTTTGAAGGAAGTGTGGCCATTTTGCATGGGCCTGCCATCATGTCATACCCGCTCTTTTTCCTCGTCATGCCTCCAACTGCTGCCCTTGTCACTCACTGAGCATGATCAGTGCCCGGCCTGCTGCTTGCCTTATTAATCTGAGCTTTTTCAACCCTCCTTGCCTGATAATTTGTTAATATTAACAGGGAAAATACACAGATTTCACAAAACTGGCACAGAGCACCTGTCATCTTGTGTAGTGCCATCGCGCTTTGGGTCAATCAGGCCAGCAGCAACCATCTGCTGCAGCCATTCGGCAGTTTTTCAGTTCAGCAGCTTTTATTGTATGCTAACTTTTTTGTCCTTCCACGTTTGTTTTCTTCAGCTCAGTGAGTGGGAAGGAACCCTTCATCATGCATGCACACGCTACGGCAAGCTTTGAAAAATGTAACCCTGGAACACTAATTTCAAACGACAAGGCCAAGAGAGCAGACTGAATATCGTCAAGGTTAACAAATCCAATAGTTTTAACAAAAGCTACTTCACTGCCAGAACCCGTCAGTCTTATGGCCCATTTTGTCTTGTTGAATGTGTGTCCATTTCTCTGTGTGGGTGCTCTATGTTTTAATCTTGATCACTGAGTGTCTGTGTGCAATTACTGGACATTCTGTTGCAAATAGTAATACCAACCTTAACACATTTACTTTGGATGGGGCTGCATTGCAATGATATTAGAAATGACCAAACTAATGGATTTGCATGTTTAATCCTATTGACTACAAATTGAATTAGCATCACAACCTTTTTCCATGGTGTACCAGACTTTCTTTGATTATAAGTACTTTAGAAATCTCCCTGGGGTAAATGTAATTAATTTTACTTCCTTCTTTGAAGCCATCAATCAATCAAACTAAAGTTAGCCATGGAGTGCCACAGGGCTCAGTGCTTGGACCTATTTTGTTCAAATTGATATGCTTCCGTTAGGCTATATTATAAGAAATCACTCTGTACATTTTCATTGTAATGCGGATGATACTCAATTATATTTATCCATCAAGCCTGATGAAAAAAAATCTAAATCTTTTTTTTTTTTTGGGTTGATTGCCTGACACGTTTTGATTGCCAAAAAGATTTAGTGCAATATATTTAATGTTTTTTTTGTGTCCATGATGATAAATGCTTTTTAACTTACTTACCAGATGCCCAAAAGATCCAAGTAGCTCCATACGTTAACATTTATTTGAATGCACCATCAAGGAAGAGTTTTTAAATACCACACAAGTGCATTGGCACACTTAAAAATGACACATTAAAACATGAAGGCAAATACATATTTACTGCAGGGGATTATAAACCTTAAACACATCACATACTGAATTGATTGGGGACAATAACAAGCACATGAATGTGTTGCGCAATCAAAAGTAAACACATTTTAGTTAAAAGGCCTAAACATGCAAATAGACAGGTACAAATGTTTTAGCTCTTCATCTAGCATTGGGTTGACTAGTAACGGCCTGCAGGCTGGTCCATTCAGCCCTGTGGCCTGTCAGCTCTAACCGGAGTGCTATTGATCTGATGAGGTGTGCGACTCGCCTCGGTGCTCTCCACAGATTGGCAGGCTCGCCTCCCTCTGACCGCTGGGCCCGTGCTGCAGGAGGAACGAGGGAGAGCATGTATCTTCTCCTTATGTTATGTGCATGTCAGTCCAGACCTTTTTCTTCTCGGTTTCTCCATTTCTCTTCCGGTGCTGCCTGTGATTCCCTGTGGTCTAATTTTGCTTGTCCCAACGATGCATGACGGAGACAGACGGCTGATCCTGTGTCTTAACAGGCTTTACCCTGCATATTGTATGTCAATAACATGCCTTTTTTCTAACTCAATTTATCATCTTTTTCCATTTTCAGCTTTCAAACAATGCTGGACTATTAACGTTGTTCTGTTTAGATGCTTTTATAACAATATTGTGCCTTTTGTATCAGTTATCTCCAGAGATCATTCTTATTTTATACTGAATATAACGTGTCATGCTAGACTTATCGGGCAGGTTATTGAGCTCCCACTTTTCCTAAACAAACAGCTGGTCAGATTTAAGTCGATCTGAATTACATCAGATGATCAAAGCTGAAGGTCATTGTGTAGCGTATTGAGCCGTTTGGTGAATGATCCCTCATTATGCACCAGCTAATGGAGCAGCATTGTCCGTTGAGTGTTGGCCTGCTAAAGGCTATTCATTTATTCTGCACTGAATATAAAATCTCTTAACATTGTAAAGCTTGTTGCATATATTAAGCGCAGTTTGTTGCAGGCAATTTTACATCACTTTTAACTAATATCATCAGCTATGGTGCTTTCTATGGATTAAGGTGACATTTTGTCTATATTCTGAATTATAGCACTAGAGTAAAAGATGTTTTAAGTGTTTTGCCTGTTGCTTGCAGAAGCTGTGTCAATACTTATTTTCCCTTTTTTTTAATGAATTTGTGCCACAGACTTTAGGGCAATAGGATTTCAAGTTTTGTTCACACTCAGATTTTACTTGTCACCATGACTCTAGTCCTTTCTCACCTTTCTGTCTGTCTATCATGCTTTATTTCTGTCTGTGTTCGTGCGTGTTCATGTGCAGATGCTGATGGATTGAGCGGCGGGGAAGATTCCTTCAATGTCAACGACCCAGACGAGGGTTTCTCCTCCGGAGCGTCCAACAGCAGCCAGCCCAGCGGCACCAAGGCGGGCGTCGGGCAGAGGGGGGGCAGCCTGAACAGCAGCAGCAGCAGCATCAAGAAAGCCATCACGGCCCGGCTGTCCCGGGACAAGGAGAGGGAGCGTGAGAAGGAACGGGAGAAGGAGCGTGAGAAGGAACGGGAGAGGGAGCGAGAGAGGGAGGCAGAGAGGGAGCGAGAGAGGGAGGCAGAGAGGGAGCGAGAGAGGGAGCGAGAGAGGGAGGCAGAAAAACAGGCAGAGTTGTCAGCGGATCACCAGGCTGCCGTGCTGAGGCACCAACAGAGGCAGCCGTCGCCCCCAGCCAGCATCCAATTGGATGCCATCCAGCTGAGCCCCAGAAAGAAGCACCTGAGCTTCCCAGCGGGGCCCACGCTGGTGCGGACTGGCAGCACCTCCTCCAGCAAGTCCTTTGACTGCATGAATTTCAACCTGAACGGAGGGGATGGCGAGCGAGAGGAGGCGGCGGGGGGCTCTGACAGAGAGCAAGGGCTTCCAGAGGGCGGCGCCCACCGCCACTCCACCATCAGCCTGAAGGAGGAGCACCTCGTCAGGCCAGAGGACGCCCAGGACCTCCTGTCCACTGGAGCGCCTCTGACCAAGCAGTCCCGCTCCCCCAGTTTCAACATGCAGATCATATCACAGGTCTAACATGTAGTGCAGGGCATGACACACACATACACACACACACACACACACACACACACATACACATACACATACACATACACATACACACACACACAAAATACCTGCTCATAACACTCATCCTCATGCAGTTTTTCTCTGCAACTCTTTCCAACCCTACTGTGACAACTTCTGTCTACCTATCTGTGTGTGTGTGTGTGTGTGTGTGTGTGTGTGTGTGTGCTCAAGAGTTGTGTCTCCACCTCCATTACAATTGTGACCTGCAGTTGCTGTTGGTGGGTTTAGCGTGACTGAAAATGCAACAATAGAAAAGTAGTAAACGTCGACTGCTGTAACTACAGTCCGGCATGTCACTGCATCCTCCCGTCTGACCAATCATTCCACACAGAAACTCCCAGAAACCAGGAAACGAGAGAAAACACGCTAAGGATGCCAAGCTAGCTGTAGAAGATAAATATGGAAATCAGATTATTTTGAGTTTCTGACAGAATCCGACAAAAATGAATCAGCAATAACACTTAGAGTCGCTCATGTGGAGAAGAGGGATTAGTGCTCTTTCTCTTCATTCCTTCCCTTTCATTCCCGGGCTCACGTGCAATCGTTCTTGCTGATTATCTTCCTTGTTAAATGCTGTTTTTTTTAAATAATAAGGCAAAAATGGTTTTATTGATTAAGAAACCTTTTAAAATGTTTTTTTTTTTAAAATCACAATCCAAAGAAGAAACCATTTGTTTTGCTTTTGTTTGACAATGATTTGATGGAAATCAGTCAGACCCAAGTGATTCTCCAGTTTTCATCCCATGAACTTCCTTTTTAATTTGTAATTCGAATATTCTCAGTTTACCTTTTGTTGTAACCAAAAACTGGAAAGTGGTAAAGGTTTGTCTTGCCCCAAGCTTTTAACTGGACAAATCTGAAGAAACACTACGTGCAGCTACAAGAAGAAAGCAACTTGTGACTTAAATTGAAAATCAGAAGCTGAATCTTGTGGAAGAACTGGATGAAAACATTGTGCAGTGACAGTGCAGGTTTGAGACTGAAGCTAAGAGACACCAGCTGTATTTAATATGGGATTATTATGATGGTCCAAACCATTTAATGGGTCCTTCCATTTCAAAGCTCTTGTAGGTGTTTGGCCTGTGTGTGGTGTCTCGGTGACGTACTGCCCTCTGGAGGCTTGCACGAGTCGCTGCGCATCATCAGCAGTCACCATGACGATTACGTTTTGTGCTCTGATTGGATGCTCATGAAACATTTTGTTCTACCTCATTGTGTGTTCACCCTGCCACCAGACACCTGTCTCCCAATCAGATGCACGATGAAAAGGTTTGAACGTTTAGGTTGGAGTAAATAGTGGGGACCAAACTGGCTCACACTGAAAAAAGACACTGTCAAATCTTTGTCCATGAAAGGAGTTGTGGAAATCTCAGCTTTGCATTTCAGTTCAGTCGCACCATGCACAGCACGTAGCTGCAAAACACAACTGTCTTCAGGTTTTTTGTTATATATCAAACACCCACATCAGGAATAACCTGAGTATTTGAATTCCCTAGAAATGTCCTCCTTTTTCAATTTTCTTTATGTAAAAGTGCACTTTTTTTTAATCCTCATGTGCATGGAGTTGGATCTTCTCTGCTGTTAAATGCCTGCATCTGCGCACAGTGCTAGCTAGCCTTCTGTAGTGCTCCCTGCCAGGCTGAGTGATTTGAACACGGCGTGCTTGTCTGCATGTTTAGTGCCCTGCAAAGCACTGCTGTTTCAGATGCGAGAAACAGCCAGCGAGCCAAACCCAAGTCTTGTCCCTGTCTTTGCCAGATGTGCCAATACACATCCTCTCCTTAAGGAAATTATGCTTTGCTTGTCTTAATTTAAAAACTATTGCCTATTCTTTTATTGTTTACTTGTCCTATTTCAAAGCTTATGGATAAAAAAAGGGCGTTTGGCTCAACATGCCCTGAGATGCAGCTTCACCTTTTTTGCCATGGGTTTCCTCTTCACTCATCGAAGGTGTGTGCGTCACACTGCACTCTCACTGTCATCACTATTTGCTGTTCACATGTAAAAGCATTATATTATGCGTCTGTGTGCCGTAGATGTCAGCTGTTGTATTGCATTTTCCCCCATGTCTTGCGCACGTGCTTGTTTAAAATGAGGATGAATGATTAATGTATATAAAAGTCAGTTCAGTCTGCAGTGAAAAACCCCACACACTCATGCCCCCACTGTGCTGGAAGACCTCCACAGCTGCTGCTCCTAGTCCAGAGTGAGTCTTGTGTGCGCTTTGGCCTTATACATTTCAGGCCAAAGAGCCTTGATGGTGGGCTCTTTGGCCTCACATGCTCCTCCTGTGGACTGTGGAGGATGAAGAGGAGTGCAGATACAGTTCACACTCCCCCGGTCTGTCTGCTGTCATCCCTGTGCTGTGAGGCTCTCAACAAGCCGTGTTCCCATTTGCTGTATTTTGCCGTGAGTTGAGTGGCACCTTTTTTGCTGTTTTTAAAACTGGTGACGTGGTCATGTCATTAATATGAGTGCCCCTTACCGAGGTTACCAGCAGCAATGTTGGTACTGTTTGTCGATTTACTGTAGAGTTACGGATAGATGAATATCCTTATGTTTCTGGTGTTATTTGCATGTGATCAGGTCAGGAAATGAACACTAGCTGGTGAATATTAATACAACTTGACTGAGGCTGGACATTTTATTCATTTTGGTTGAATAATAACCCCAGAAAGGTCCACTTACATTTCAAAAAAAGTCTTAAAAGGTTCAATCTGTACTTGTCAGCCACTGTGAAGAGAGTTCATTTCCTGTCCTGCATGTGATAACTGTGGGCTTTGTTTTCATAAAGTTGAATGCACTTTAATCCATCCACCTCTCTCCTCAGATAGTTATTGAAATGATATATATAGATGTGCAAAATGTGTATACACTCAATGCAGGGTTTTAGTCTCTTTAAAGTAGTACTTCTATGTGATGTCACATTCAACACAATGCTATTTTTGTTAGAGTCTAAGGGTACAGCTATTTATTATTGTTTCTTTTCAAAACCAAAAAAAAATGTAACGGGGGTCTGGAAGGTCTCAGGAGATTATCAAAAAGCCACATTTTAAAAATGGCAGCACCAACATTTCTGTTCTTGAAGTCGGAATTGATTCTATGCAACATTTTTTCCCCCTTTTTTCACTTTTTTGTTTTGTTTTTGGTGTTACCGGCTGTCACTGATCCGTGTTGGGTGGTACAGGGCAGAGGCACTTAAGCTGATTTTTCAAGGAGAAAGTCCTCAACAGCGTTCTGTGTTTTTACCCTGTTGTGGCGCTTCAGAGCGCAGGACCTCTTGTGGGTGAAATAAGAGGACCATCCATTTGTCATCTGACTGCCCTTGCAGACAGAAAGCCACATCATCGGGACTTTTTGGTGCATGTCGAGCCCTTCTGTCAGTTTGCTGCTCTGTGGCTCAAAGACGTCAGCTGGTGTTTGAAATCTAAACAGATTATCAAAAATGAATCTAATCTAGATGCTTCGAGGGAAGCTGCTGGACGATGTGATAACACTGTACTATTGATGTTGTATAAATGGAGAGAAAGACTTATTTTAAATCTTGTAAATAGAAAATGTACAAAGGTGAAAGCAAGATAAATATAAAAAACTGAAGATCATTCTGAGATGTAGAGAGAAATTAATCTGTATATTGTTGAATAAATATTGTGCCGTAAAGGATATTTAAGCGTCTGCCTGTTTTTGTATGTGGAAGTGGTTAAATATAATTACTGCTCATCATAGTCATCACCAAGCAATTTCTCTCAGTTGATACATAATCTCATTTAATAAATATTGACAGTTTAGTTTCAACAAACTTTAACTTGGTGACTGATCAAAAATGTCAAAGGGTTGATAAATAAAGACTTTCTCACAGACCTTAAGTCAGAATTCAAACAGTTTTTAATGTGTCTTACCAATAGCTAGACAATATATAGTGAATAAGCTAGAATGATAAACAAACAAAAAAATACAAAACGTGTCTGGTTCCCTTTTTTTTTTTAAAGTGAGGTTTGCTTTTTTGTCTACTTGGATTATAAACAATTATGGCATTATATATATTTACCTATAAATTACAGAATAATCAACATTTTCATTCAAAATAATAGATGATTGCAACCCATGTAATAATATTGGCATAATTGAAAATAAATCTGAAGTGAGAACCAGAAGAATGTCATTCATATTAATCAATTAAATGTAATTGTTACTGTTTTCAAAGTCAATCTCATCGTTTCTTTTTGGTAATATATACACTGAGTAAAGTAGACTCAAATACTTCACTGCAGAAATACCTGTGATCAGTGGTGATGTGCTGACACCTAGTGGTTGTAATTCAAAACAACAGACCATTTCAAGGTAAATTAGTTGAACCTACGAATGAAATTATTCTTGCTAGTTATGAAAAAATGATTAATATCACAGTTGTCTCTGCTGTGAATTTCCACTGTAGGCCTATCCGTAATATACTCTTACTGTGGATGTCGAATTCTAGCAGAAAAAGTCAATCATTTTAATATTGTTATTGTATCAGATGTGTTGTTCCAAAGCCACTTCCCACTAAACATGTCATGAACAACAAACTGCCTGCTCCACCTCGGACCCCTTTTACTAGAATATACTTCAGCTTTTACAACAGGGGCTTAACTTAATGGAGTCAAACATTACATTTAAAAAAGACTCTGACTTATTCAGCTCTAAAGTAGCCTAGAAGAGAATTTCCAAAATAGTATTTCTAGTAGAGAATTCATTTTGAAGAGTTCACAAGATACTTTTTTTTGCTTCAAAACCCCCATATGAACATGTAAGAAGTAAATGACAACTGGGCATAGGGCCTCATCTGATGATGAATAACATGGGAGCAATTAAAGGTGCAAGAGCTCTACTAAAGAACATTGTGGTAAGATTTGTTGTTTGAATTCTCAAATGCATAACAAATTATTAAAACAACAAACCAGCTGATTTATTATAGTTCATTTACTACTAAACTGGAACTAACTGTTAACCTCCTGAAGCTAAAACCAGTTAGCATTGTGTTAACCACGATGGTTTCGCCTGCTAGCATGCTAACATTAGCAGTAAAGTGAGCACTAAACACCTTGACAACCATGACAAAGTTGTGTAAACAGCTACTAAATTCAACTTTTACAGGATTGTTAAATTAACTGCTGTTTCCATTGACATGAATGAGCTCCACTTTGTTCTAAATACTTTTTTCAAAACAAGTTTAGCCTACTGGTTATTACTGATTAACTGCTAAAAACAATCAGTTATCATACAGTACTTGCTAAAAAAGGGTTCCTGGACACTTATTCCTTTTTGTACTGAATTAACAGCACTGTTTACCTAAAATTGTAATCCATAAATACCTGAACTGACAGGCATACAAACTATTAAACAAAGAAACTGTGATAGTTTGAATGAATGACAACAATACACACAACAATATTATAGCTACTTAGAGCCAATCAGAGCTCCACACAGTAACAAGATCCCTAGTTGAACACTCTGGAGGTGTTACCTGGTAACCATAGGCTCTAACGCCTGGCAAAGGACATGAGACAAACCACTTCACACACCTGAAAGTGTGTGTTTTGTTAAGTTAGACACCAGACACTTCATGTTGGTTCTTCTATCATTTATCCAACTGGAAGGAGGACCAGACGGCAATAAAAAGGGTAATGTTAACTGTGTCAATTATACCTATAATGTTTATTTTAACCAATGTTTGCAAAATGAGTGATGAAAACGGTGACTGAAATCAGTAGCCTATCAGAGAATACCTTTATCAGTCCCACAGAGAGGACATTTACATTGAAATGTGTGCACATCATTCTCAAACATGTCAATACAAATGTGCTAATGTTTTTTAAATCTATATAACACTCCTTCAGCATCCTAATCAGAATCAGAATATCTTTATTAGTCTCACAGAGGGGAAATGTACATTGTTACAGCAGAAAAGAGCCAAAGACAGCTTAATGTCTTTTTAGTTTGGTTGTAATGTGAGGACTGACTGGACAGCAGATTGAGCAGAAGAGGTTAATATGGTTTTGAGAGGGTGGAGCCATTAAATAGTGCAACATAACAAGGCTTTCACAGCCTCTCCACACAGTTGACATCATGAAGGATGTACTGTCTCTGCAGGATGTGATGACTGAATCAACGGGTTAGTGTAGACTTTAAATATGTGGAATTAGGTGTAGGTTCTTAATTTGAAAAAAATCTATTTGATGGAGTTGAAAGCTGTGATTCCAGGGGCCTGGGTGGAGGAAGTTGAGAGAATGCAGGTCACATGACAGTAAGATAAAGGCTTATGTCAGGATACTAAAGTCCCAGGCTCTCCAAGTGTTATAGATTAGGAACCATTAACTGACAAGCTGCACACTCTGGCACCTGTCTCTTCAGACTTCCACCAAAAGAAGCTCTTCTTCCAAGAGGATGATTTCAGCTAAACATTTTTCTTTTACTTCCTCAGAAATGCTGTCTAAATTAGAGAATAAGGTTCACCCACAGCAAATTATCCCGGAGCTGCGGCACGACAAATATGACATGAACCGGATGGTTAGTCGAATGAAAAAGGTGAGTGTTTGCATGTCACATTACTATATATTTTAATGTTGATGTTGGTGAAGCATGATGGTATACTAACACGTTTGATGAATTTTAATAATTATAGTTATTTAATATGTTTTGTATGTCAAATCGTTATCTGAAAAATAACTGGTGTAGTAGAGAGGACAATATATCACACAGTGGAATAGATGTAAAGTAAATGAAAATAAAAAGACTCTGGCAAAGTACCTCAAACCTCAAATATGTACTTTCCAATGCTGGATCATTTTAAGTTTGTGAAAAACCTGAGTTTACAATAACAACGCATATTTTTTTTACTGTGATTAACAATCTACAACATTTATAATCTTTTAATTTCTAAATTGGGTGTGTAATTAATCTGCTCACAGAAATGCAGTAATCTATTGATCTAGAGCGGGCACAGGGCTACTTTCTGTCCCGTTAGTTTGGTCGGGTTTCAGCAGCCTGCTCTTCTTTAGCTCCGCTCTGACATCACTGATGCAGTGCTGAGTGCGTCCAGCACCCACAGTCCTGACTGCAGAGCCTCCTCTCTCCTGTCAGGCTGTCAGCTCTCAGCCTGAGGCAAATCTGTGAAGCTTGTCCCCCCCATGTTGCATCCAGGATGGAGAACGCTGAGGTGGAGGGACATCCGGTTCATTCTCTGGCGATCAGCACAACCAGACCCACTAAGCATCTCTCTCCCTCCCCTTCTTTCCAGCGCTGCGCCTTTACCTCCTGGACCAGGGAGAATATACACAAGAAGGAATGCTGCTTCTATGAAAAGGGTGTCAGGTAGGATCAGCTGCTCTGTGCTCTGGTGGTGATGAAAGTCTTTAAACTGACCTTGCTATTTGCTGCTGCTGCTCAGTACAGACATACTGCAGCATCTCTGTTGTGCGTATGTGAGAGGAGGCGTTGCCTTTAACCACCCTGAGGGCAGCTGTGTATTGCTATGTTAACTTAATCTGTCAGTTGTCAAACTGTGCTTCTACATGGAGACATTACAAGCATTCACTCTCGTTTCTCCGTTAGAGAGGACATATGTAAGTGCGGCTACTCAAAAATCGAACATAATGATGAAGCCATCAAACCAGAGGACTTCACTGGCGAATCATGGCACAAACACAGACATCTCCACGAAGTGCCCACAGACGCTTTTGGGGACATCAGCTTTGGTGGTTTGGGACAAAAGACGGGCAAGGTGAAACTATCCTATCTTTCCACTTTAATAAACTTACATGTGTATGCTTGCCTGTTTGTCTTCATTCTTGCCTTTTTGTCTGTGTTTCATTCTCAGTATATGCGAGTGTCAACAGACACCAACCCAGAAATCCTGTACCAGTTACTGACTGAACAGTGGAGACTGTCCCCTCCCAACCTGCTGATCTCAGTGACCGGGGGGGCTAAAAACTTCTACCTGAAGGCTCGTCTTAACAACATGTTCAACAGAGGTCTTATCAAAGTGGCCCAGACAACAGGTGAGCCTCATATGTACAGTAAAGGGCTACCAATGATTAGCCAGAATATCTGTGAATGTATGTGTTTTATGAACATGTGTAGTTATGGAGTTTGGGCGTATGCCTGTGATAAAATATGCTGTATATGACTGACAGGTTCACTCCTCCTGCCCAAACTAGTGCTATTAAAAGTGCAGTTATCTCCTTCACTAATCTTACTGACAGTTTACCATTTCATACTGCTTAGGTTTAACTTGATTTTAAATGTATAGTCTGTATGTGAAAACTCACTAGAACAGTCTGTAGCAATGCAGCAAAACAAGAAAAACGAATTAGAATTTATATGAAAGATATTGCTCTTACTTGAGTTTATTTTTGCTTTACCTTCCTTAGTCTCATCTGACATCTATATATATTTACATTTAGGCTAACAATGCAAAAAAATTGACAATTTGTGCACAGTATTTGGTCCTTGTCCACATACTTTGGTGTTACCTGTTTCCTGGTTTGGCCCAGGCCTCTTAGGGACATTTGAATGCTTCAGCAAAGGTTAAATGGGACCCATGTTGTATTTAGGAGCATGGATCATCACCGGTGGTACGCACACAGGTGTGATGAAGCATGTAGGGAAGGCTGTGAGGGACTACGCC